CTATTATTTGTATTTGTTACCTCTAAACGTTAAGTTCCTTGAGTTTGGTTAACAAGTGCAGGTTGAGCTGGTCGTGGGACGTACATTTTCCTATTCTTTTCAGTCAGGCCAGGTAATATCTTTCACTACCGCCCTGGAATGTCTTTTCAAAAGTTGTATGATAGTAAAAACTAATTTTACGTTTTGCTAATTTTATCTTCATTGGTTAACCGTAGCTAGAGCGAGAATTCACCTATGATTAAGTTTATTTGACCCTTTGATAGCTTCTGCTCTACGGCTTTAAAATATAGTTTTATTTTGCAAATCTCACCATTAGGCACCCCAGAGGCAACCGAACTAGCCACTCAACCAAATGACCCTAGAGGAGAACTTAGTGATTTAAGTCGCATTCAGTTTATTACCATAGTGACTATGGATTGATGGGCAAGAGCTGTGATATCCACTTCGTATTCCTTGCCCCTGATTTAATTCTTGTCTAGAAGGAAGGCACCATGTGGCCTAATGCGACATGGCCTATTGGCTGAACCACTTGCAAGAAGTGGAAAGAAGTACTTTATTAAATGGATGCCCCAAAATGTGGAGACTAGCCACCATAGTTCTTGGCTCATCAATATCCAATTACTTTCCGCATATGAGCTATGACCGTGACACCGGGCCAAACAAATTTCATTAAAATTCTAAGCATTCAACCCAATTCTTCTTATTTGCGTTTATTGAAACAAGTTGAAAACTAGTTCGGAAATTGTACATCATCTCATTAGTGTCGAATACGAACTAATTCCAAGTACTTTTATGTCACTAAAGGGTAAAGGCCTAAATGTTTGCCTTTATGAGTAGTAAAATCAGAGGCACTCATAATAATATTTTATTCTTTCTGACCCTCTTTGCTCTCAGGATAGAATGGTTGTCATCCAGTATTCGGTTTCCGTCCCGAATGGTCAGCATTTGAATAACCGAGTGCTCCGAATTCGCCTGGCTGCCGAGGATAATCAAGCACCATCAATCGAGGTGAGAGCAATGTCTTGCTATCGCATGATTTTTCATCCATCTGGTACTCGTGCAAAAACCCAATAAGGCTAGCATGTTTGAGGCATTAGTAGCAGCTATTGGAGAATGGGCCACGTTGCCCGATTTTGGATTAAATCTAATCTAACCTTAGCGATATTTACCTTATTATTGCTATTATAGGATTCCATTGGAATAATGGGTTTCTCCGAAACCCGCCTAAATAACCTTATGGTTTGAAATAAAGCTATTCCTCTTATCTAGTTCTTGTGAAAACTTGGACGGAAGAGATTTATAGACTAAGTCGAGTAAGATAAATTTACCTGACAACACTATTAATCCATGCAGGATCTACAACTGTCTTAACGTGACAGATCGTCTGGGCGAAAAGTCATTCCTTAACGAAATGTCACTAGACACCTTAGGCCACGAATAATGGTCTCCATGCGATCCAATCGACTTTTTATAGATCTATTTTTTATCATTATTAATTACATTATTACAATTTTATCTACTTCCTTGTCTTTAATGCAGGTAGTGATGAG